GCACCAGCTCTCGTAATCCAATCACACTGTTTTTTGACTGCCTGCCAGTCTGACTCTGCTCTTCATCACTCACTCACTCGTTTCATCCCTTTCAGGATGATGTTTATGGCCTGGCAAAGAAGTGCAACCTGACGGAGCGCCAGGTTGAAAGATGGTTTCGGAGTCGGCGGAATCAGGACAGGCCTTGCAGGATGAAGAAATTCCAGGAGGCTTGGTAAGAAGGACAGCCCCAGCTTTTGAAGTGCTACAATTTAAAAATATATATATTTGTATTGATTTCAAAGAGGAAGGGAGAGGGAGAGAGAGAGAGAGAGAGAGAAACATCAATGATGAGAGAGAATCACTGATCAGCTGCCTCCTGCACGTCCCCTACTAGGGATCAAGCCCGCAACCCAGGCATGTGCCCTGACCGAGAATCGAACCGCAACCTCCTGGTTCCTAGTTCAATGCTCAACCATTGAACCGCGCTGGCCGGGTGAACCCTACTTTTTTCTCTATCGAAACAGTCCTGGAAGACAAGCTGTTGTTCAGCTTATGTGACCATGTTCTCCAGACCCGTACTCCAGCCGTTTAGTGCTTGGCTGTGTGACCTGGGAAAACCCCAGTGTCTCAGCTCCACAGCGGGAATATACCCATATTCCTCTTTCTTAATATGTGTGGGCGGGTTGATGAAAGCTCTGTGAGGCATTATACAAATGGAAGGAACAAATGTCATTTTTAATATTCCGTTGTTGCTTCAGCAGTCATTAGCTAAAATAGCCGTAATTAAAAGAATTTACTCTGCAACACTATCAACATACAAATTGTAGAAAGACTGGCATAATGAATAGGCTATGCCATGTCTCCATCACCAACCCTAATAGCTCTCAACTGGGCCATCCTGTGTCACCTCTGCTCCACCCACTCCTCCCATCACAGATATTTTTGTGGGTTGATTTTTTTCACTTTTACTGAGATATAGTGACATACAGCACTGTTTACAGTTACGCATACAGTATAATGACTTGGCTTACATATATGGTGAAATGACTGCTGCGGGTTTAGTTTATATCCTTCATTTCATGGAGAGAAAAAGGAAAAAGAAAGTATTTTCTTTGTGAGGAGAACTTTTAGGATCTACTCTCCGAAACTCCCAAATATACCATACAGTAGTGTTAAATATAGTCACCATATTATAGTGACTATATATCACTATATATCATATCACTAGTGCTTACTGATCTTATACCTAAAAGTTTCTACCTTGTGACTGCTTTCATTCAATTATGGCTGAAGATCATTCTGAAGTAAATATCAGAGGTTGTATAATTTCATTAGTAAGTATTTTAATACATATCTCTAAAAGATACATACCACAGTAACTTTAAACATAATTGCAATACCAGTATCATACCTTAAACAATTTATTTCATAATAGCAAATATTCAGTGTGTTCATTTTTTCCTTACCTGTCTCAAATCTCCTTGACAGTTTAGTTTATTCAAATCAGGATCTAAATAAGACCCATGCGTCACAGTTGGGTTGTGAATTTTAAGTCTCTTAATTTATAGATCTTTCTCCATCATGACAAAAAGGTAATCTGTCAAAATATGCCTTTCCAAGGCAATACTAAAAGGTCGGGCCACATAGAAACCTTGTTACTGGGAATTAAATGGAGATAAAAGAAATGATTTGATAATACTTACATCAAACCATCATTTATTGTGTGTCAGGAAGTAGGCTAAGCAAATAATAATAATAATAACAAAACAACTGCCTCTTATTGGTGCTTACTTCCTACTAGCCACTATGATCTGTATTTTTCATAAATTATTTTCAATTCCTTTTACCTTTTGAGGCAAGTTTTGTTTTCATTTTACAAGTGAAGAGGTAGGCTCCCTGCGCTTAAAACTGACCTAAAGTTGCGGCCGTCTAAGTGGCAGAGTCTCACGATAACATAGATGGGTCTGACTCCAGAACACTCGTGCTTTCTGCTGCACCAGCTGTGTCCCCCCTCCAACACCCACCTCCCTTACCAGACTCTCCTTTCTATTGGCAGCTGGCGATTTGCATTTTACTTAGTGATTACTGTGGCTGGGATCGCGTTTCTTTATGATGTAAGTTGTCTTTTTTATATTTTTGGTTGGAACTTGTCTTTAATTTTTAAAATCCCTGCCCTTGATTTCCTTAGGATCTAGTGCAGCCGTGGGCAAACTACGGCCCGCGGGCCAGATCCGGCCCGTTTGAAATGAATAAAACTTAAAAAAAAGAAAAAAGACCGTACCCTTTTATGTAATGATGTTTACTTTGAATTTATATTAGTTCACACAAACACTCCATCCATGCTTTTGTTCCGGCCCTCTGGTCCAGGTTAAGAACCCACTGTGGCCCTCGAGTCAAAAAGTTTGCCCACCCCTGGTCCAGAGCTTTTCATGAGCTAGCAGCTCATAGCCCTTTCACCCCTCTGAGGCCTGGGGAGTGGCCATTCCTAGGCTGTCTTCCAGGGCCTTCCTCAAACTGAGCATCTGCCAAGTTCATCTTTAACCCAATCTCTGCCAGTTTCCACTTGGGCAACTCATGCACCCACTAAACTGGACCCTGACAATCACAGAACATGCCTGGCACATCCCCACTTAGGGATTTTAGCACATTTTCCCCTCTGCCAGGAACGTCCTGCCCTTCCCATCTCTCTGCCTGTCCAGCTCCAACCAGCCTCAGAGCAAATGCCACTTGTCCCATGAAGACTTCCCCTACTGGTCCATCAAAACCAAATCTGTCCCTACCATTATGTAAACAATGACTAAGTGATTGTAAACGGAATAGTCCATTGTTTGTAGAAAGTGAAAGACAGGCAGCTTTTAGAGACTGCTCTCAGGATGCTCTCCATTTCTCTTAAGATACTTTATTGCTCCAGCCTATCTGATTGCTACAGAAGCAGTCATGGGTTTGGCTCGGAAATCACTTTGTTAGAAGAGGCATCGTTGGGAATGCTCTGAGACAGGCCTGGTTTTGGTCCCACATTCACTCGTCCGGGGTGTTGTGTAGCCACGTGTGTGGATACCTCCCGAGGGACGTGCAGCGGGATGCAAAAGTGCATCTTTCTGCGCTGCCTGCCCCTGTCAGTGACATCAGGAGGAGCTTGTGTTTTCTGCTGAAGCCAGCCTTTGATTCTGACAAACTTTTCCCCCCGCAGAAACCTTGGGTATATGACCTCGGGGAGGTGTGGAATGGCTATCCCAGACAGGTAAGGACCTCTGATGCAGTCCCCCACTGCTTCAGCCCTCAGACCCCCGATACTGTCCCCCTACGTTAGGCCTGCGCCCCTGTCCTGCTCTGTCCACGTCTCTGCAGGCCTTTTTCTCCTTCTCTATTGGAGAAGGAGAAACATCCTAACTTACCCATCATGTGTCTCATTCTATTAGGGTGTATACAGTCATTATGTGTTTTGAGTTTAAACTTACCATCTTGCTATTTTATCTTCTATTTATACTACCTTATGCCTTTCCCTCTTTTTTTGTTTTCTCTTCCTACATTTTTATGGGACAATCAAGTTTTAAAAAATGATTATTCCACTTCTTCCCTTATATAGCTTTTCAGTTATGCACACTTTATTATTTTAGTAATTATCCTAAAGATTACCATATACATCCTTGAATTATTAGAATGAATGCAGATTCGGGTTCCTGGGGAATGTTATAGCAATAGGTATAAGCAGTAGTTTTAGCCTTACAATGAGTTACAGGGCATTAAAGTGAATACTCTCATTTTTCTCAGCCCTTGCTGCCATCCCAGTACTGGTACTACATCCTGGAGATGAGCTTTTATTGTTCGCTCTTACTCAGCCTGGGCTCTGATGTGAAGAGGAAGGTAAGTGTCTCACAAAGTTACTTTATTCATTATTTTTCCAAAGTTTTTATCCCCAGCCCCAAATCTTAATCTTTAAATTCTATTTTATATGTGTTAAGTTCTAGTTCATAGTTGTGTTTTGTTTTTTGTTTTTTTGCTTTTTATAGCACATAGAATAGTGCAAATTTTATTCATACTTTGGTGCCTAGGTAAGTATTTGTAGTGGAACATTATATAAACGTTAACACTGAAGCTAATCAAGTCATTTTCTCAAGAAATAGAATTGAAAAATATCATTTATGTATTTATGTATACACACACACACACACACACACACACACTCAGGTAAGTTGATCCTATAATGATTCTGTCTTTTTTTCATTTCTTGAGGCAATGAAACCTTTTATTTTTTTAGTCGTTGATTTTTTTTTTATCATGTACAAGGTGCATTGAGTACTTTTTAAAAAATTAAGTGTAGAGATGTCATATGTTTGTAAACACATGTCTTCAGAGACATAAAACGGTTAGGAGTTGGGTAAATCACAGACTGTGGGGTCAGATTGCTGGGGTTTGAATCCTCGCTTGACCCTCACTAACTTCTTGAGCTAGATGGTTAAACCCCCCAGCCCTGATCTCCTTGTCTATAGCATGGAGCGGAAAAGAGTTCCTATCTGCTCTGGTTCTGTGGGGATTAAGCAAGTTACACCACATGAAGCACTTCCTGGTATACAGTAAGTGCTCAATAAATTAGGCTATTATTATCGTCGTGTTTAGTCCCTTACTTTGGCCACAAGGAAACTTAAATCTTTTAAGTTTTTTTTAAAAAGCACATTTTTGCAATATTCACATACCATACAATTCACCCGTCTAAAGCGCATAATTCAGTGGTTTTGAGTCTAGTCACAGAGTTCGGCCGTCGTCACCACAGGCAAATTTGAGAACGTTTTCATCACCTCAGAATAAATGACTCCAGCGGTCAGTTCCCATTTCTTTTAACTCCCATGGCCCCGGGCAGTCACTCGCCTGCTTCTTGTCTCTATGGATTTGTCTCTTCTGGACATTTCATATAAACGGAGTCACACAATAGGTGTTCTTTTCCTATCTGACTTCTTTACTTTAAAGCGTAGTCTTTGCAAAGTTTATTCATGTTGTAGCACGCGTATTTCATTTCTTTTTTTTTTTTAATAGCCCTTGTATGGATATGCTGCATTTTGTTCATCCACTTATCAGTTGATGGGTATTTGGGTTGTTTCCACCTTTTTGGCTTTTATGAACAAAGCTGCCATGAACATTCAGATACAAAATTTTGCATGGACATATGTTCTTATTTCTCTCGGGTACATACCTCAGAGTGGAATTGCTGAGCTCTACGGTAATTCTATGGTTACCTTTTAGGGAACTGCCCGGCTACTCAACAAAGCAGCCACCACTGAGAGCGATTTGCAAGGATTGCAATCTCTCCACATTCTTGTCAACACCTATTGTTGGTCTTTTCTGTTACAGCTGTCCTGGTGGGTGTGACGTAGGATCTCCTGGGGCCTTGATTTGCATTGTCCTGATGGTTAATGAGGTTGAGCACATTTTCGTGGACTTAGTGGCCATTAGTACATCTTCGCTGTAGAAAACCTTTGTGTTTTTATGCTCAATTGTGGTACCTTTCTTGGCCTGGGTTTGCTAGTGTAGATTATTCCACTCTTATTTGTCATCTCTTTCATATGCAACTCCTCTTATTTCATTTGTTGTGTAGTATTTGTTATATGTCTGTTTTCCTTTTTGGAATTAGACGTGGAATAAACAATACGTGTAAATGTACACAAGAATACGGTTGTGTGTGTGTGTGTGTGTGTGTACATATGCCCAGGGTGGGGCTGTGGGAGAAACAGCAGATGTCAGGACTTAGATGACAGATGACAGGTGATCTCTCAAAGTAAATGACTTTATCAGTGAGGATAATTCTTGTCCTATCTCCCTCACAAGGATTATGTTTAGAATTAAAGTATTTTACAAATTTTAAAACATGCAGATGTTATTAGTTTTTAAATCACCATCATCATCATCATCATTATTATTTCTTCCAGTGTTGAGAACTAATTGCACTTTCTTAATGGTTTCCACTTCCCTCCTGTAGGATTTTTTTGCTCATGTCATCCACCACCTGGCTGCCCTCAGCCTGATGAGCTTCTCCTGGTGCGCTAACTACATCCGCAGCGGGACCCTGGTGATGATTGTGCACGACGTGGCCGACATTTGGCTGGAGGTAAACGCTCGCCATTAACACACTGGTAACAACAGGGCGTCCTGGGCTCCGGGCCCCTCACAGGAAGAAGCGTGTGTGAGCTCCAGCAGGGCGGTGTGTCCTGAAAACAGCCACAGTCCACAGATGACTCTGGGTCCCCAGATCTTCAAGCTCAAAGAAACAAAACTTTTATTTTTATTTTTTAAATATATTTTTGTTGATTTGAGAGCGGAAGGGACAGGGAGAAGGAGAGAGAAGAGAGAAACATGAATAATGAGAGAGAATCATGGATCGGCTGCCTCCTGCACAACCCCTACTGGGGATCGAGCCCACGACCCGGGCGTGTGCCCTGACTAGTAATCGAATGGTGACCTCCCGGTTCATTGGTTGATGCTCAACCATTGAGCCACACCGGCCAGGCTGTTGTAGGATCTTGTCCTTCTAGACCTGGGTTCAGCAAACCTTTTGGTAAAGAGCCAGATAGTAAACCTAGCGTTGTGCACCACATAGAACCTCGTCACATATTCTTATTTTTTCCTTTTTGTTTTTCTGTTCTTGTTCTCCTTTAAAAATGTGAAAACCATGCTTAACTCAAGAGCTGACCAGCGTTAGCCTGTAGACCAGACTGTAATTCGCCAAACCCTGTTCCAGACGTAACCAGAAGCCATTTCAAAGCAACTGTCTACTATTAAAATATGAGCTGTGTAGAACACTTTGTTTCTTGTATGTAATCATTATTAGCCATGTAAATCCCAGTCTGAAGGTCAAGATGATTACATTCCCTTCAGGGCAGCAGTCGGCTTAGCCAAAGGCTTGTGCCTGGGTTTCTTTTCCACGTGCTGCCCCCTGAACGTGGCCGTCGCGGCTGTAATCACCCCGCTCTCTGATCCTGTCTCAGTAACCTGCCTGAGTGTGACCACATTGGCCGCGACCTAAGGACTTTACGCTACGCTGTTGCTTCTAAACCTTCCAGTTCAGCGCGCTTTGCTGTGTGTCCACTAGGAAAACAGCTTCATTGTGTTATTTAAAGGGACTTAGACATTGGAGGTGAACATAAGCCCAAGGTCGTCCCTGCCAGACCTCCCCCCATCCTGTCAGTGACACCAGACAACTCCGTAGGCAACCAGGCTTTCCACCCTTAGCTGTAACAGAAGCCCTACCTGCCCCTGAGGTATGTTGTAAAGTTGAGCTCATTGCTGTTAGATGTTCTGAGGACCTTCGGTAAAAAACACAGCAAAATAGCCATAGCTGGTTTGGCTCTGTGGCTAACAGACTGCAAGGTCGCAGGTTCAGTTCCAGTCAGGGCACGTACCTCGGTTGTAGGCTCGATCCCCAGCCCTGGTTGGGCATGTGTGGGAAGCAACCAATCAGTGTGTCTCGCTCACATCGATGATTCTCTCTCTCCCCCCCCCCCCCCTTCCACCCTCTCTAAAAAAAAAATCAATGGGAAAAATATCCTCGGGTGAGGATTAACAAAAAAACCCCCACACATAAGTTATCAGTATCACAAATCTTGTTTCATCTGTTTCCCCACTCACACTCCACCTTTCCCCCCCGATTGTTTGGAAGCAAATCCCAGACACTATATCATTCATAAATGTCTAATTTTAGAAATGTGTACTAATATCATTTTATCTGAACACCATTTTTTTTCTTCGTTTGCAGTCTGCAAAGATGTTTTCTTACGCTGGATGGAAGCAAACTTGCAATACCCTGTTCTTCATCTTTTCCGCCATATTTTTCATCAGCCGCCTCATCATTTTCCCCTTCTGGTGAGTAGACGGTGCCCTGCGGTCAGCCCCCATGCCCAGGCAGCCTGGCACGTTGGTCAAGTCCAGTTACTTGTGCCAAGTTCAGTGGGAGAAAGAACATGAAGAGGCCCTTTTCACATAATCAAAGCAGTGCCGCCGGCGGGTGTGGCTCAGTGGTTGAGCTTCGACCCATGAACTAGGAGGTCACGGTTCAATTCCCGGTCAGGGCACATGCCCGGGTTGTGGGCTTGATCCCCAGCGTGGGGCATGCCGGAGGCAGCCGATCCATGATTCTCTCTCATCATTGATGTTTCTATCTCCCTCTCTCTTCCTCTTTGAAATTAATATATATATATATATCACAAAAAAACTAACGCCTCCCACTGTGGAAGAGGCGCATGACAAAGGGGGTGGAAACTGTGTGACCCGGCGGGCAGGCGCTCCTCCTCCCCTTGGTCCTGCCCATGAATGTGGATCTTCCTTGTGAGGAACAGCTTTTCCAGTTTCTCCAGTGAAGTGTCCTTGGCTGGCTCTTTAAAGGAGAGGCTGTTCCGTGTGAAAATTACAGTGATTAGAACCACCAGTAATTGCAGGCCAGCCCCTGGGTTAGGCCCTCCGTGTGTCTTGGCACTAGTCTGCACAACAAATCCGCCGGCTGTTGGGGCTCCCCGCTCCCAGGTGAGGAAAGTGATACTTCTCATTCTCCACGGTCACTGGGCCCAGCACTGGTTTGCGTGTCCTTTCGATGCTGATGGGCTCTTGATCCAGGGCTGGCAGTGGGAACCTATGTCTTCCCTGGCAGCCATTCCTTTGGCCAAAAGCTTCACTCTCCGTGTGTGGGTTGACAGAAACCAGGAGAAAAGTGGGAGGCAGCCTTGGATGGTTTGGAAGGAACAGGTTATCACCAAGCAGGGTCTGGGGGCTAGTCTAGGAGTTCCAGTCC